GAGGCCCCGAACCAGGATAAATCGACTGTCTCTTGCGTTCACCGTCGAGTTCCGCATACGCTGAAGCCCGAACATACTGCCCTAGGGACCCCCGTGGCAAGCTATCGGTGGTCAAACATCGACAGGAATGTGTTCTTCGGAGGTGCTCATAGGAGTAGGATTTACGTACGTGTATTCATAGGGGTGAGTGTGCGTGCGTGTTGTGAGCGTCTACATTGTACTGTGTAATTCTAAAAAAATCAAGATGAAAAAATCGATCGGATGCAGAAAATGCTAACTGGATTTTGATTCGATGGCAAGAGAATTATGATAGCCTTTTAATTCATTGACTGATTATTTTATATAAATGGACTCTACAACTTTTTCCTCAAGAGAAAGACATATAGTACTAATTTCTTCAAGGATTCGATCGCTTGGATTCAGGAACGGAAATGCTTTCCTCAGGACATCCGTCCATCCGAACGCGGTCTTCCTGGGCCTGTGGACCAGCCCAATACGCCTGTTGCGAGTAGCTAGTCGTAGATGTAATTATTTTAAGCTAGCTATCACCGCTAGGGACCCGTGAAAGCTTCACATCTTTTGAGAAGCTCCTGCACCACGCCTTGCCCTGCCCGCCCTTCCCTCTCTAGGCCTCCAGACTTCCTTCTAGTCTCCCACTCTCCCGTGCCGCTTGCTGCTGCTACTGCTGGGCTGCTGCTAGTGATAGGGGTCCCGGGGCCCTTCAAGTTCTGGGTGGGCGGCGAGCATATGGTGGGCATTGGGCGGGGGAAGGAGGAGTTAGAGGAGCGGCTATAGATTTGGGAGCGTAGAGGCAAAGGGAAAGGCATAGGCAGGGATGGGGGGCAAATGCCGCGGGGCGAGGATGAAGAGGAGGTGGAGGGTGCTGGCAGTGACCGCATGGGTGCTAATCACGGCGGTCTGCTCCACGGTGATGCACTAGACCCTAGGCCGGGAGAGCCTGGGCCATGCCGAGGAGCCGCCTCCACCACAGGGGCACATCGTCACCGGGGACCATACTCGCCCGACTTGTCACCGAGAGCCGTGCAGCTGCTTGTGGGGCTGCCGCCGCCCACCCTCTTGCATCCCCCACTACGACACTCCGCAGCGTTGAGCTCCGCGTCGATGAGCCTTTATGTGTCCGAGCAGCAAGTAGATGTTGCACTTGAAAACGCATGTTGTAAGTGTATGTTTCAGAGGTATGTTGGAGTGTTTCACACAGATGTTGCAAAAGTAGATCGGGATGTTATATGTTGCAAGCGTATGTTCTAAATGCTTCATCCGTTTTTCCAGATATGTTGCAAGTGCGTTTGTTTGGATGTTGCATATGTTTCACACATATATTGCAAGTATTTTGTCTGGATGTTGCATATGTTTTACAATGGTTTTTAAGTGTTATTTAGGTATTTTTGCAAGTGTTTTAGATGCATGTTTCAATTGTTTCATCTGCCTTTCAGACGTATGTTGAAGTGTTGCATCTGGATGTTTCAAAAGTAGATCTGGTGTTGCATCTTCCTCCTCACTTTCTGCTGCCTTGCCTTGGTGTCTCCTCCCGGTGCTAGCTAGGCATCCGGCGTGACCCTCCCCCTCTTCTCAATGCTGGTGACGTTCGAGGCTGTGCGGGCCCCACGTGGACACATGAAACAACGCGAGAAATGACGACACGACGCGAGGGAACGACCATGGGCCTATGAGGCTGATGCAAGTAGGTGACATAAGATAGTAAGTATTGATCTATCTATAATAATAATTTATCGGGAGCGGTCGTGCGGACGTGAAAGGTCGTGCGGGTCATGCGCACTGTCAGCTAACAAAAGTCGTCCGATATTGAAGTAGCGTCCGGATGTCCAAGCGCCAGTAACCCTCCCATTCGGGGAGTACCAGCATCATTTCTCCTAAAAGCCTATAAAAAAGGAGAATAAAGAACAGACACGATCTGGTTGCAAGTGCACGCAACGCAACTAGTATATCTTTGTCTCTTTGTAGTCTGCCGCTCCACTGTGGCTAGAGAATGGGCCCCACACGATAGTGAGAGGAACCGGGAACAGCCAAACGACACAAGAGCCGGGAGTAGGGTTTTTGGCTGGAGCCTTTTACCTCTGTGCTATTAAAAAAGTTTATAATTACACACAAGCCATTAAAAAAGTTCTTTGCCTTACAAGCCATTCCGTTCTTGTTCTGTTTGTTTTTCGCGTTTGGTAGCCCTTACAGGTGGGACCGACCAGTGAAATTGTCCATGTTGCCCTTGGGCGGTGGAGACCATATTGACTATGATTAACCGCCACCTCAGTCCCTCACTCTACCCATCTCGCTCGAGTCCTCTTCCCCTACACCCTAGCGGCATCGGCGGGGAGAGAAGAAGACAATCCAGCCCTGCTTGCGGCTACGGCGTGGAGAGAAGAACCCCCCAATCCCCCCGTGCTTGCAGCGTGGAATGGGGTAGTGGAGCAAGGAAGAGGAGGCCTGAAGGAAGAGATCGTGGATCCTCTAGATTAGCGGCGCATGGCCGTGAACAAGGGGGAGGCGCGGGTGACCGATCTCCTTGGCTTACTGATGGGTGAGTACCATTTTTAGGGTTTTTCTGCTTCGATTGCTTGGTCCTTATGATTGTGGTTAGTTAGGTGTAGTAGTCATGGTTGATATAGTGTGATTTTAGATAGATAGATGTATGTGAACTCGCTGTTGTTCATCTATAGGATGGACCCTGCTAGTAGCTACAACCTAGAAATCCGGATAATTGCTCGCCATACTCGTGCTCGATGGTTTAGCTTGAACAAAGTCGTCGATGCTGACCGTACCAACTTCGTAGATCTAGTTGCTGAAGTTGAGAATAAGTATCCTTCTGATTATGGGATGTTGAAAGATTGTTTTACTTTTGCATTGAGAGACAGATGAACATCCAAGTTTGCAACGACCAAGATTTGCTTGACATATTTGCAAAACATAATGCTTCCAAGTGCTGCTTCCTGACTTTTAGTTACCACAACCCTAGTACTGAGCCTCCTGAAAAGTCTACATAACATCTATACCTGGTGAAAAGCTAGAAGATCATGTGGATAAATGCTATTCTGTGGCCAAATTCAAAGCTACGTATGAAGGTGCCATCCCATCCATTCCTGACAAGTCTATGTGACCTGATGCCACACATGGATTCTTCATGCATCCTCCATTGCTTAAGTCCACAGCTGGTAGAAGAAAGAACAGGTACAAATGAGCAGTTGAAGGAGGTAGCAGGAAGAAATCAAAGAGACATAAGTGTCTAATATGCCATAAGTTAGGGCACCACTGATACACCTGCAAGAATGGGAGCCCAGCAGACATAGCTGCAATAGGGCTGACAGGTGAACTTCTCTCAGTTACATTTATTCATATATGATATGAATTGCATTAAATAATCTAATATAACTAAAATTTCACCTGTAGGGGTCTGCCAAAGAAGAGGCAGAAAAAAGCAGCTAAAGCTAACACAGAGACAAGCATTGTTGTAGCCACAGGGATGGTGTTCCCTCCCAATGAGGCAGTGGAGAATGCTGTACATAAGAAAAGAAAGAGAAAATCCCCTTCTTCATCATGTGTCTCTAAATCTAAGGGAGCAGCAACAAGTACTTTAGTCTCTACTACTACTTTCTCTAGCAGGTATGCCACTTCTCCATTTTTTTCTAATTTTTTACAATGCCAACAGCTCACACTAAAATTCATATTTCATGTACCATAAGATATTGAACTGGATCAATGAACCAATTCTTATTCAAGTTATGCACCTTGCCCTTTATAATGAAAGATGTTGCAGTTCAGCATGAGTCACAGGAAGCTTCAACTGCTACAGTTCATACACCAAGGAAGAAGATTGGATTAAAGAAGAAGCTTACACCAAGAAAAGATGTGTTTGCTACTCTAGCTAGGGGAGCAAGCAGCAAGGCTCCAGCTGACCCTTCCAGCCCAGCTGAAAATACCAGAAGTAAGAAGCAATTGCTACTGGAATGAACAAAGATGACTCCACCATGTTGTTTTGATAATGCATTGGTGCTGTACTCCTAGAGAACACCTTAGCTTTTATGGTATAAATCATTTGGATGGTATGAAATGCTGATGTAATAGAGCTATAATATTTTGCATGATCAGGACATGTAGTTTATCTGAACAAACTACTGGTATTAGATGAAATTGTGGTTTATGGTTTGCATGTTGATGAACAATCTGAACCATGAGCACTACTTATGTTGGTAATGTATTAAAGTTTGCATGTTGGTGAATGAACAATCTGAGAATTTTATATTTCCGAACTGCATTCATCCATCTTTGACTCATTCATTCATTGATTCAAACATATAAACACAGTGACACACACGTACATAGGACCCTACTTCTTCGTAATTGCATACAAGGCAAGGAAGATGACAACAAAGACCAGCTTCTTAATCCATCTGAGCTGCTGCATAACCCTATCTTGCACTACTCCACCTGCCTGACCACCTTCCTAGATGAGAGTTATTGGAGTGGAAGTAGGGATAGCAGCTAGTGTTGGCACTGCTGATCACCTTCCTTAGTGCTGTCTATTTATATAAGCCATTTAGAGAGTGTTTTTGACGCCAAAGGCCCATCAATTGGCGTCAAGCACCGTCAGATAGCCTCTTCTTTATGAGGATATGCTTGTCTTTTCTCCATCCGTTAGCCACAATTAGCGCTGTATTTAGATGGAATAGATTGTAAGACCAAGAAGGTTAGAGCAGTGACCCTGATATATGGTCAAACTTTTTTTAATGGCTTATATATAATTACAATTTTTTTTTTATGGCAGACGCTTAAAAGGCTCTTTTGGGTGGGAAGACCCGGACGGACGGACCCAAGACGTCCCCAACCGCATCAGGACCAGAGAGGAAGGTCAGCCAAACGCCACCGCCGCCGTGCTCGCGCCGCACGCAACTCTCAACTCTCTGACGCCTCCTCCTCCGTCGACTCCGGCGAGAGAGACACAAACCAAGGAGTGAGGCGGGAGCGCGAAGATGGGCGTGGGGGACGGCGAGGTCGCTGCGAGCAAAGAGAAGGGCAGCGGCGGCGGCGGCGCCGGAGGGGGCGGTGTCGAGCGGACGTCGCTGGACGGCGTGCGGGATAAGAACGTGATGCAGCTCAAGAAGCTTAATACGGCGCTCTTCCCTGTCCGCTACACCGAAAAATACTACCAGGACGCCATCGCCTCCAAGGATTTCTCCAAACTAGGTGCGCCGTCCACTCCTCTCTCCGTCTCCCCCTCCTCTGTTCCCTGCTCTATGCCATGATTGTTTCCCTTGACTCATTGGATCTACGATTGGCGTCCAAAAGGACGAGCTGTTGCGGCGAGATTGAGAAGACGCCGTTAGGATTTTGACGAATGTGATGTGTAAAAAGGGACGATTTGTTTGGTTAGGCCCGATCTTGGAGGGTCCTGGTAGCTGTGGTGTTTAGGCTGGGTAATGAAGTGTGGTTGTCCCCAGGTTGTACGGATGCATTTGGGGGGTAGATACTGATTGTATTGATTGATTCATCTATTGGGTCAGCTGATTTTGTGTGAAATTGGTTGCTGCCCCTCTTGATGAGTGATGCCAACAGCTGAACTGTTGTTTCCCTGTATTTGTCTGCAGCTTACTACAACGATATTTGTGTTGGCACGATAGCTTGTCGCCTGGAGAAGAAGGAAGGAGGGGCAGTCCGAGTTTACATCATGACCTTGGGTGTACTGGCACCTTATCGTGGTCTTGGTATAGGTGAGTCTTCCCCCTTCTGATTCACTTTTGCAGTTATTTGAAGAGATCAACCAACCTATTTGCCATGATGTTTGGAATGCCTCTGGAAGTCAAATATGTGTGCATCATCATTGATTTCAATAGATATGCGGTGATTACATCTTGAGTCTGCACACATCTATTCCTGATAATAGATATCGTCAAACTAATATCAATTGTATTGTTGTTGTATTATTGTATATGTATTGCAATGCCCCATTCTTATTTTATTTACAACCTAACTTCAACTGTATTCACAATGCTCTAACATTATCTTCTTTCAACACAACCTAAAACGGTAGTATGTGCTTACCAACTTCACAAACAGTGCTGATGTGTTGTAGGTCATCGTATAAGCTGTTTAGTTGGCACTATTATTGTTAAAGTGATACCTTCTGTAAGACTATGTGAAAAATTGAACTGCTGTTTATTTGCTAGAGCTGTTCCAAATTGATGATGCAATTTATGTTACTAGCAGTGTCTTCTCAGCTTGCTTGCATTTAGCTACTAGGCTTTCGTCTCCTAGTAGAGTTGGTGCGTATTGCTGCTGCTTTTCCCAAGTGTCAATGCTTAAGCAATGATCTGCAAGTGTCACTACAGAGAAGTTAAAATTAGTTTGCTTATTCTTTGGGAGCTTTTTTTTAGCACAGAAGCCTCATGCTAGATAATCGGTGTTATTACTTGTAGATTTTCCATATCAAGGTAAAGGTAACATACATTTTAACTTCACAGGAAAAAGGTAACATACATTTTAACTTCACAGGAAAGGTTAAATAATCATTATGAAATAACTGTGTAGCATGATAATAACTTTTTGTAGATTTTGCCATTAATCGTGTACTTTCTTTTTAAGCCCCGGTCTAGAGCCCATAAGGTCAGCCTTTACAGCTAGTCTCTTTCCCTAAACATAGTCACTTTTACTCACTTGATTGTTCTAGACTCCACTAAATACTAAGGTACACCACTATTGACCCTGCTATTTATTTTCTTGCTGTCGAGTTTCATAGATTCCAGATGGACTTTTAGGGGCTATGATCAAATCTAACACTACATGTGGACCTAATGCGGCAATTTCTGCTGTTTACACTTTTGCGTCAATCGTAGAAGCTAAAAGTTCAACGTGATGTGTTCTTAGAAATCCTTAATGTGCACAAGAAAACATCAGGAAATCTTGAATCTGGTATTCCTTGGGCAACTTCTGTTAGCTACCTGTACTGTTACTTGCTCCTGAAGATGGATGCTAGTTGAAAAAGAATATGAATATTGTGTTTTTTTGTGGGCTGACTTCCCATGGCTGAGCTACAAATCACAAAAAAGAAAACACCACTCTGAATTATTTTTGCACTATGCGCATAAAATTGTACTACATAATGTACCATGGCTTATAAGCCGGCTTATAAGCTGTCTGTCTGGTGGTAAAGCCGCTTGTGCTGATTTGTATGGCTGATTTTTTGGGGGAAAAAAATACTGTACCATGTCTTATAAGCCGGCTTATAAGCTGGCTTTTACGACCAGCCGAACACTCCCAAGATCTATGCCATCTTATATTTGGCCGATTTTATGTTGACAGGGACAAAGCTGTTGAATCATGTGTTCGATCTCTCAGCAAAGCAAAACATCTCCGAGATATACTTGCATGTTCAGACCAACAACGACGATGCAATCGCTTTCTACAAGAAGTTTGGGTTTGAAATAACACAGACAATACATAACTACTACATGAACATAACGCCACCGGATTGCTACGTTCTTACGAAATTTATTGGCCAGGCTGCTACAAAGAAATGAGCAGCCGCCCTGCCACCTTTGGGAGACCACTGCCACCTGAGTTATGGTGGAGATGGTTGGGATCCGGTCACAGTTTGTGCTGTGCTTTCATTTTTGTGATCTCGAACGCCGCAGACATCTGAGTAGCCTTTGCTACAGCACTGAGACATCATTTACATTGAGACTCATCTTGCTTCAGGGGATGGATTCGTGCCTTAACAGTTTCTTGATTTGCTGCTTTCGTGGGAGAGCTATGATCTTATAGGTCTCTGTATGCCCATTCGGGCTTGTATTTTGATGAATCACGATGTCAGGATGTTCTACAAGCTTATTTTGCGCTGTGACGATTCAGTTGTTCATGCTCGGCCATCATTCTTCTGCATAGACATGCTAAGATAGTCCCCGATCTTGCTATACTGCAAGCAGATTAGCCAAAGGTAAAGAAACGTGAGTGCGCCTTCTGAGACTGTTTCTTGAAAGTATCGGGATGTTGTCTCGAGGGGATAGATAGGTGTTTCTGAAAGAATCTTTCATAGTTCAAAGCAGCGGATTAGAATAACTACGTAGGTTACACGGATTTGTCCGTAGCTTATGCACGTATGTGTAAGTTATGCAGAAATCTGTGTAGGCAACGCGGTTCAATAGAAAGCTCAAGATTAAACTACATTAGTAAACGTGTCCGTGCGTTGCAATGAAAGAATAATAAGTTATCAAACGTTGATGGGAGGACAAAATAATTACTTACCTATTTTTTTTTTATCTTTTCTATAAAATTTAAGAGCTATAATTTATTTTATGACCATAACATCTATAATATAGGTTAATATTGATAATAATATGGCAATGCCCAACTAAGTTTTTTATTCAGTTAAAAATAACCTTGATAGATCTTTTTTCTTCTGTCGTAAGGCACATAAATATTTACCTATAAATATATTCTAACGTTAATGTTTATAGTATCCATGTGTTGGTAGTTAGATATCAAGTTTCGTGACTTCTTTTGATGATCCATAAAGATATGTGATTTTAATATATGAGTAAAGTCGGTAAGGAGTTAGTTGCAGTCGGAGACCTCTTTTCATTTTCACGTGGCATCCCTCATCGAGAATTATACTGGTATATACATATAGTGTGGAGATATATTTATTTTGATTAGATTAAACGATAAATTGTTCAAGATTTTAGTTCACGGTTTAATTAGTCGGACCATGAGCTGATTTAGGCTCTAATAATAATAGGTTTTAATTCTAATAATAACTACAACAACAAATTAGTGGTGAGAATATTTGTTTATTAGAATTATATAAGAGTCAAGGGTATACTCATAATACTATTTTATTATTTATTTTTAATGTTTAAAAAACCAAGAGATACTAATAATTTTAAAAAAGAAAGAACAAATAATGGGAAGAGCAGCACGGACCAGGAGCGGGGAAAACGAACGGAGGGCGGCATGGACTAGAGCCGGTCAGCGGGACATGGGGAGAAAACTGAGAAAGACGTGGAATAGGACACCGGAACGTCGGGGAAAAACAGAGACACGGGAACACCGCGGAAAAAACAGACACGGGAACACCACGGAATCGGACGCACGGAATGCTGAAAAAAAATCCGAGAGCCTGTGATCGAGTTGTAGCAGGTAATTGGGCTGGACGAAAATTTTGATGCCAGATATTTTGCCTCTTTAGTATTATGGGTAGATGGATAGATTTATTATAGAGTTCTAGCTCAAACTGGACTTGGAGATATGCGTGGAGTTGATTAGCGAATCAACCAAGCACCTGTACTCATAAATAGGCACAAGTAGATCGAGAGTGAAGCATAAATCAAATAAAAGACTCAAGAGTGAAAGCACAAACCAAATTACCAAAGTGAAGACATGATAATTTGCTTTCTTAAGTTCGGCTCCTTCCAAGGAAAGACCTACGTCTCCTCCAAGCGACCCAAGTATGAAGGTTAAGCAGTGTCTTTTCCAACCATCTTTTTTGCTTCACTATTGGACTTCTTCCCTTGTGGAGGTGAAGTCAAAGCCTTCTCAATTTCCTGCAACTTACCACAAGTACGGGAGCTTGTCGGACAATTCCTTGCCGTCTATGAGACTTTTCCTCCAAAAGTAACAAATGCTTCGTGAACAATTGACAAAATTACAAGTGCTTAAGCATTTGGTTGCTTACTTTTGCTTTTAATCACTAAATCTCTCAACCCAACTCATTAGAATTCACACAAACCTCACAAACCTCACAAGTAGAGGTTGGGGAGAGCTAGAGAGGCAATTGGATCAGCGATATGGGCGTGGGTGAGAAGCAACAACCCCTCCAACTAAGGGGAGGGAGGGAGTATATATACTCCACTCACAAAAACTAGCAGTTATGTCAGTCAAAGTGCGTGATTCACTTAAAAAGTGCATAACCTACCTACTTGAACAGAAACTACCCGATGAAACTGAAAAAACTAGCTGTTGGACCTGATTATGCTTAACTTATGCACAAGTCAATAATCTACGCAATTGAATAGAACAACCTAGGTCACTTTGCAAAATAGTAGCTGAAAGCATCTAGATCCCTAATTCAGTTTTGGCGATTATTGATGATACAATCATTGTCACTAATGTTTGTTTTGCAGCGACATTACTTAGTGAGACCACAATGATAATATTGGTTGTGCTCTTATATATTTTTCATGCCCCTAATTATAGTTTTCAAAGGATACGCATGACGACTAATGTAACACCCCGTGTCCAATCCAAAAACTGCTTATAAGGCCCAGCTCCGCACGTGGAACGGGCCTGCATACGCGTAGTACCTCGTTTACACTTTCGTCCTCGCTTCATGTAAAATGGTTAACTTGGAGGTGCTACGTTTGGAACAACAAGGCTTATAAGCTGGCCTTCACCCTCCTAAACTTCAAAGGTGGTACTAAACCCACCAACCATAACCACACATGTATTCACCCCCCTTAAACTTTGGGAGAAGGGGTGCCCCCTAGCAAAAGGGGGTCGTAGTGCTAGGTCCGGGCGACTGTTTACCAATAACACCCCACATCCAAAACTGCTTATATGGTCAAGCTCCGCACGTGGAACGGGCCTGCATACGCGTAGCACCTCGCTTACAGTTTCGTCCTCGCTTCGTGTAAAAGGGTTAACCCGAAGGTGCTACGTTTGGAACAATAAGGCTTATAAGCTGGCCCTCACCCTCCTGACTTTCCAGGTGGTACTAAACCCACCAACCACAACCACACATGTGCCACTTGGTCACATGCGCCAACTTCACAACTACTACAGGCTATTAATAGGCTGGGGTGTTACAACTAAGGACGAGCTAGATCTAAATGTCATTTATTGTGGAGAGACACTTACAGCAGTTTATGTTCTTATTTCCTCCTTTATTATAAGTGAAAGCCTAGGTTTAGTTTTGGTAACCGTGACAACACTTGTGCAGGTCTCCAAGCAGAATTTTGGCAGGGCAGTAAGTGAAATCAGCTAGATCGATTTTGGCAGACTATTGCAAATTAGTTTTTATAATTGCTTACCTCTTCAACCCCGCTATAGGCACCAACTTAGTCTTTCAAAACATATTTCAAATTTTGATTTTTTTCAAACATATTTAGAAAAACCTTTTAAACTCTATTTTGAAAACCACTTTAAACTATATTTTGAGAAATCATTTAAAATATCTCATCTGACATCTTTTTATGCTCTATTTTTAAATGGCCATTTTGAAACTATTTTCAGTCAAGTCTTGAATTTTGAAAGGTAGAACAAACAATTTTTGAAACATTTTTAATCTAACTAAAACATATTTGAGCTTATATTTTGGAATATGTTTTAAACTATTTTGGGAAATTAGACCCTTTTGTAAACATATTTTTAAATGTTTTCAAGACTTTCTCAAACTAAATCTTGCACTTTTAGAGCTAATGTTTGAAACAAAATTGTGAAGTTTTATTCTTGAAAATAGAATAAAACCTATTCGTGACTTGATCGAATTTTGTAAATTCATTTACACACCATAAAGCTAATGCAAAGGCTTGAATGTAAGAAAAAAATTACATTATTTTTTTAAATTTTTTATAAAACCACATTTTCATTCTCTGAATTGAAAACAAACTAAATACTCTCTGACAATTTTAGAAAGAATATTAAAATCATCTTGGTGACATTGCTACTAGCTTGGTGGGTGAGGTTATCCGGATCACATTAATTATTATCTTTTGATCTTATGTCAATCTAAAGAAAAACTAGACCACACTATTATTTTTCACTATCTATGCATTGGAAGATTAATGTCAACGTTGAGGTCAAAATTAGATGGATTGGGTGGCTCAAACTCTACAAGGTGATAGTAGCTCCTCATTGAGAGCATTTGGATGCATGTAACAATTTATTTTAGGCTACAAACTCTAAATCTACAAGAGCCGTGAAGCTTGAGCTCCCCAAACAGTCATTAAGTTATTTCTATGGTGTCAAGAGAAGGGAGGGGTGTAGGCTACAAACTCTAAATACACAGTTCCCTTATGGTTTGTAGGGGTGAGAAGGGGGATCTAAGAATGAGATTTGCAACAGTAATCAAATAACGTCAACATAGTTTGTGGAAGTCCATCAACTCTTCAAAATTGTTAGTTTGTTGTTGTGATAGCAACCATGACTTGATGAAATATCTTAATGGTGAATGGTGCCAACCAACCTAGTGGGACAGCGAAAGAACTCAACTATATCGACTACTGTAACTATAATTATAACGGTAATATCAATTTCAATATAAATTCAGTAAAACTGGAATCCTTTATGTGAAATGTTATGATCGACTGCACACTTGTGGTAGAACATTGCTTGTTTCTCATGTTAACACATTTAGGAACTGCTTGTTTGAGCTGCAACTTTTGGGCTTTTGGCTCAAAAGCTGACTTTCAGTCCTTTAGTTTCTGGATGTTGTCTTTTTGTCATTGACTTTTATAATAAATTTTTAGTTTCTCAGTAAAAACTGGCTTTCCAACTTTTGAAAAGCCAGCTCAACTGTTGAACGGATTGTGTCAACTTCTGGCTGGCAGAAGCCAACAAAAAGTTAAAACAAACATTTCCTTATATAGTAAGCAATCAACCCACAATTTTTTTAAATAACTCTCAGCTATCATCAAAGTGGTATTTTAAGTATGTTGTTATTCATCCAACTAGCAGTTTGACAGATCACATCAATTCCAATGATTGAGATATAGTTTTGTAGCAAGAAATGAATTCAAAAAATTGCACTCAAAAGAATTATTAACTAATGATCCATATATACTAAGATATGTTTTGACCAACGTGAAAGGCACGGCATATTGCAATATTTTATATTGGTAGATAGAATAACCATAGCTGGAGACTAAAAATGGCTGCTAATCAAGACTTGCTTCAATGGTAGTGTGGTAGTTTAAGGATGCTAATAAATACACTTTCTGTTTCCAAAAATAATAAATATTCGACTAATCATTGGCAAATAGATATGCATAGTCCAGCTCAATTAAAAAGAATTTTCTTTTGTTACACAAATTTTATTTGCAAGCTTTCTAGTCGTTATTGACAACTGGGCCCATTTTGGACGCACAAAAGAATGACCCACTGCTCAGTGACTTGTGGTAAGAAGTCATACACATGTTTTCACGCCTTCAAAATCTCATGAGATTTCTTTTCTTTTGTGCCTAAATTTCTTCTATATAAGGGGTAGGGGTGGCTGCCTTCTTTCTCACCAAAACACACCTGCTCCCACTCACAAGAAAACATTCCTTATCTTGCTCACATATTGGTTGTAGTAGTTTCAGTGTTCTCCATTCCATGATGCCGAGGAGGGATAGGAGGTCAGGACTCAGGAGTGAGATTCATTGAGGATGGTAGGTACCGGAGTCTCACATTCTTCAAGAGGCGCTCTGGGCTTTTCAAGGCGGCATCTGATCTCTCCACCCTTACTGGCACAAGGGTTGCGATGGTGTTGGAGTCCGAACATGGGAAGTTTTCCTCTTTCGGCACCCCAGAGGCTAGCCCCATACTTGATGCTTTCCTTTTAGGGAGTGCACCGATCTTGATACCGGTGAAGCAGACAAGGCTTCAATTACCAACTTACAGAATGAGGTGTTCCAGCTAGAAAAAGACAAGACCATGGAGGATAAGAGGAAGAAGGAGAGCATGGCGCGGACCAACGAGAAGATCCAGGAGGCCTCCAAGAGGGCCAAGTATGTTTATGGTAACATAGAGGATCTTGATGCCACTGAGCTCTTTGATATGTATCGTGAGCTCTCACGAGTAAAGCAAGAGATCAATGATCGCTTGCCTACCTTGCTCCATGAGGACAAAGTAGAAGCTGGTGGTCGTCTTAGAGATCCATCACTGTTGCAGCCCACTTGGTGGCGTTCCATGTCTCCACAAGTTGCGACACCGCCAAAGTATCCTCCATGGGCTCCCTTCCAAGCTTGCTTCCAGCAACATCCATGGTCGTCCATGCATCAGTGCTAGCAAGGTCGGGCTCCTCGCCTCCAGAGTCCAGACTCGGTGATCCTTCCATCACCACAGGTACCACAAAATCCGCTGCAACATTCCTACTCTCTAGCACCACATACTCCTTCCACTTCCAGCGTGCAATTCCAAGCACCCAAGACGCCACCAGCACCTATGGAAGCCCACAGCCCTTACAACTATCACATCCGTGGGATAGACATCAATGGTAACAGCTCACACCCATTCTCATTATCACCTATACTGCCTTCACCGACGATACCCCAGCCATCATCGTTGCAAACTCCACCATCAGATGATTCATCTCCTCTATCGTTGTCGCCGCAAATTTCATCCCCGCTGCATCTAAGGTCGTCGTCCCAACAGATTCCTTTCAATGTACAGAGTTACAGCTCTATGCAGCCACCTCAAAACTACGCAAATGTTGGCTCAGCTTTGCTCCATTCTCATCAACTATTCTATAGCAAATTATCATCACCTGAACTAAATGTTGCCTTGGGAAACATCGATAAGAGTGGAGGCACCCAAGTTGGTGGTGGACACAATGAGAGATTTGGTTTGTCTAGCCCTCAACAAAGTGATGACGGCTTGGACGGGGTGATGCCTAAGTCCTTTTATGCAGGAGAAAGTTCTAGTGGCGGTGATGCAGGAAGCAATCTTGGTGGCCTCAACTTCCAATTAGCAAGAATTGTTGTAGTTGGTTTGTCGTGTCGTTTTCAGTAATTCCAATTAGCAAGTTAGCTATGGCTTGTCATTAGCCAAGTAAATGAGGTTTAGGTCGTCGTCCAGTCAAACTTCTCTTTTATTTGAGCGCTGGTGCATGTAAGGGTGTATTGAGGGCCCAACTCTTGAAGTTGGTTTCATGAGTTTGATCCTTATTACATCTGTGCAATGCTTTTGAAATCTCCATGTTATTGATTAAATGAATCGTTGGGTTGAAATTAGTATGGATTTTATACAGGGGTTACCAAGAACACCAAATGGAAATGACAGTATATGGGTAATAGTAGATCAACTAACCAAGTCTGCGCATTTTATTACCATCAAAAGACTTTTGCCTTGGAGAAATTAGCTAAGATGTATATCAAAGAAATTGTATCTTTGCATGGAGTTCCCTTTCCGATTGTGTCAGACTGGGACCCATGCTTTATTGCAAAATTTTGGCAAGGCCTACACAAGGCAATAAGGACTAAGATGGATTTTAGTATGGCCTACCACCCATAGGGGGTAAACCAGATTGTGGAAGATATCTTCGATCATGTGTTCTTGAATTTAAAGGAGCATGGGATGAACATATGCCCTTAGTAGAGTTCACTCACAATAACAGCTATTAGGCAAGTATACACAAATGGCTCCGTATGAAGCATTATATGGGAGAAGATGCCAATCGCCTCTATGCTGGGATGAGGTCAGAGAAAGAAGACAGGGACCCACGCTTTATTGCAAAATTTTGGCAAGGCCTACACAAGGCAATAGGGAGTAAGATGGATTTTAGTAAGACCTACCACCCATAGAACGATGGACAGAGGAGGGTAAACCGGATTGTGGAAAATATCTTCAATCATGTGTTCTTGAATTTGAAGGAGCATGGGATGAATATATGCCCTTAGTAGAGTTCGCTCACAATAACAGCTATTAGGCAAGTATACAAAAATGGCTCCGTATGAAGCATTATATGGCAGAAGATGCCGATCGCCTCTGTGCTGGGATGAGGTCAGATAGAGAAAATTTATAGGGCCTAATTTGACCCCGTGGACCAAAGAAAAAAATACAGATAATACGGGAACGACTTCGGATAGCTCAAAGCTGACAAAAGAGCTAATGCCGATAATAGAAGAAGAGATATCCAACTTGAAGTAGGAGATTTAGTGTATATTAAGGTTTCTTCAATGAAAGAAATAAAACGATTTGGACAAGGAAAGAAATTCAGTCCAAGATATATCGGACCATATTTTCCATCACCGAGCAAATAAGAGAAGTAGCATACCGGGTACACTTACCTGGTTCTTTATTTGGTGTCCACAATGTGTTCCATGTATCAATGCTTCGTAATTGCTTGAGAGAGCCCATAGAATACCTGGACATAACAGGAACTCAGCTACAAGATGATTTGACATATGAAGAATATCCTATACACATCTTGGATGTCAAGGAAAGAGAAACACGACAACAGAAATTTCGGTTCTTAAAAGTGCAATGGAGTAATCGTACTGAAGATGAAGCGACATGGGAAAAAGAAGATGATTTAAATGAAAATTATCCATATATTTTTGAATAAGTGATGAAGGTATGGAAATTTCGAGGTCAATTTTTTTTAAGGAGAGGTATGGTGGTTGTAAAATCCCAAATAAATAAATAAATACGAACGAGCAAGCGAGCAAGCAGACTGCACGCTCATGTTCATGTCACTACTACGCTAGTGACTGGATCAGCTTCTGCTGGATAAGAACGAGTGCTAAAAAGGAAATAAGTAAGAGGAGAAGAGATAAACCCAGGACAGGAACGCACGGTAAAGAAGATAACTCTCGGCTTATTTTTCCTACGGTACGATCCTCCTCCCATTTACTGCAAGCGTTGTGTAGAACACTCCAACGCTAGTTGTCGGTGTTTTGTCAACCGACTAGTGAATTTAAACGTGTGTCGGGCTGCTCTAGAAAGACGACGGTAGCACTCAAAGACACAGGGAATTATATATACTGGTTCAGGCCGGAGCCCTACGTTCCGCCTCAGAGATGGTTCGAGTTCATGTTCCTCGGTTAAGTGCTATGAAGTTCTTACAATAGGGTGTGTAAGCTAAGGGAAAGAGGTAGGAGGAGTGAGGTGAACGAATGCCCGAATGAAGTCTCGAGAGTTCATCCCCTTGGAGGCGAAGCCTGGCCGCCCTTATATAGAGTTCGGGGGCCAGGTTACATATAGAGAGAGAGGTTCTCCTGACCGAGTGGTCGTGAGCTCGAGGGAGGGAGAAGCAAGTAAACTTGGCTTGCAAGCAAGCCCGTCTTGTCCTGGCGTCATCGCATGTTCTGGTATGGTCATCGTCGTGGTCTTGCTCCCACATCACGCCATGGCGTGGCGTGATGCTACAGTGCCAGTCGTGACGGCACCGTTGACACTGTGGTGGTTCACTAACTGTCCTGCGTGACGTGGTCTTGCTGTGGCCTTCGTCATCGTCTCCTGTTCTCCTGGTGGCATCGTGGCGACAGTGCGGGAGAAGGTAGCCGCTCCTAGGTCATCGATCGCCTTTGCTGGTCGTGATGTCGTCGATGGCCTCGACCCTGGATTGCGAGGTCGAGGTCCCCGGTGGCATGGGCGGTCTTGAAAGTCAAGGCCGGGGTTGTGTGCCCCATCCCGTAGCGGGTGGGGCCGTACACCCATCTTGTCGGGCTGAATTTGGACGGTGCGGTACCGTACCAGTCGTCACCGCCTAGCGGTGTGTTGTTTTGTCTGTGCAGGGACGCGCAGGGATGGTGTCTCCCCCCCGAGATGGCTATCCTTTCAGTCCTAGCGGAGTGGGTGGAGCGTGCCGGTCTCCGTCAGGGCAGGCGTACTTGACCACGTCCGATCCCTCCTCGTCCTTCCCTGGGGCCGAGACGAGAGAGAGGTCGAGGGCGGCTGCGTGTGGTGGAGGTGAAGGGAGAGGTCGTGATGGACCATTTGTCTTAGCGTGTGGCCCTAGACCCGTATGGCTTAAATGGGCCATAGTTGCTGGGCTTCTGCTGGTTTGGACCGTCCGAGCGGTTGACTAATCGGTGTATTGAGATACCCGGAGTATCTTGACCCTGACACTAGTATAGAGTGCCTTGCTCCCATCCTTCTAGACCTGCACCACGCACACACATCGATCAACAGTGTACTCATTCTTGGCGCTTGCCGAAGGGAAAGTCGGACGGCTTGGGTAGGAGCAGGAACATCTATGAATAGGAGTCACTAGAGAAATTAACCAGTAAAGGCAAGATTGTGCTTGTTACTAACTTTCTTAACTGAGCTAGAAGCTGGTCTATATTTTATGCTCTATATTACATGTAAGCTAATACACAAGCCATGAACGCGTGAAGGATGGTTCACCATGACTGATATGGCACATAAAATGATATCGTCGCCATCTGGGTAGGTAATAGTTGTACTCAGCCTGAGACAGCCAAACCTGAAATAGTAATGCAGAGGCAGGCTGTGACCAGTCTGAAGGGATAAGATTCACACAAGTAGGGTGTCTAGTGAAATGGTTCTCAGATGAAGGCTAATAACACCGTATAATAATTATTGGCGGGAGATGGTTCTCAGATGAAGGCTAACACAAGTATAATAATTCTCAGACTAATTATTGCCACTGACTCATGACTCTTCTTATATTTATTTCTCTCACGTATTATCTCATTATTATTCTTGCTGAGTATGTGTAAACGTACTCACCTAGCTCTTCCTATTGACATGCGCAAAAAGGGGGAGAGTAGTGTTGACCCTGCTGGGCGAACTGACATGGACATGCATGCATAGGGTGCACATAGCTGTGACATCTACGTAAGTGAACAGGGAGAGTAGCTTTGTTGCCCAAAATAAAAAGGGCAAGGGTAGCTGCCGTGTGAAGACGTAGATTCCACTAAGTTGTAATCGTGACACAAAAGTATTAATAAAGCGTGCTTACTGTATGGATCTTGATGCCTCTTTCTGTCTTGTGTGTGTATGAGGATTTTAAATTTTCATACACATACAACACTGTCACCTTCATATTTTTGGGGCGTGACATAGTTTGTGGAAGTCCATCAACTCTTCAAAATTGTTAGTTTGTTGTTGTGATAGCATCCTGACTTGATGAAATATCTTAATGGTAAATGGAGCCAATCAACCTAGTGGGATGGTGAAAGAACTCAACTATATCTATACTGTGACTATAATTATAACGGTATTATCAATTTCAATATAAATTTAGTAAAACTAGGTCCTTTCAACAAGGAGAAGGATGAGGGAGCGAGATGGAGGATATGGACAGCAAGAATACCATGTAGATCAACCTAGGAGCTAGCCAGCTAGGAGGAGAGATCAAGAAGGGTGACCAAGGGAAGGACATGTGGATCCAGCTTCTCCCACGTGTTGAGAAGCTCAGCAACACCCCCTCCACCCTTTGGTCAGTGAATCTGAAGCTCAAAACACCTAGATGCACAACTGACCAATTTAGTTGTTCATCACCTAGAAATTGGCTCCAATGACCTTTTGTTGGATTAGATGCAATACAACTAGATTCACCTAGCTGGATGTGCTCTATGGAACCCTAGGAACACCCCCACAAACACAGTTTGCACATGCACAAACCATATGTCGGGGTTATGATACCCCGGGTATCTCAGGACACCGATTAGTTAGCCGCTCGGACGGCTCAAGATGCACGAGCTAGCACAAGCCCAAACGACCATGGCCCAGCTAAGCTATGTGGACCTGGGCCAAGCACTAAGGCAGGATCAGCCACGACCTCCTCCGGCCTGAACTAGTATAATTCCTTGTGTCTTTTGGATGCTACCATCATCTTCCTGGAGCAGCGTGACGATCATACAAATTTACTAGTCGGTCGACAAAACACTGACAGTTGGCGCGCCAGGTAGGGGACAGTCGCGCGCTCTTGATTGTTGAGAAGAAAGCGATGGCTCCTCGCACCGTTGATGAATTCACCCGCAGAACGGCCCCTAGCGGCCTCATCCGTCATGGGAACCTCGAGTTCATCGGCGTCGACGGGC